ACGTTTCGGCCGTGGAGCCTTCTTCAGGTGTGGGACACCTGAAGAAGGCTCCACGGCCGAAACGTTGTGTTCTCTTTTTTCTTTTTTTCAGCATGGAATAAACCTATTACTTGTTCCTTTGCAGCCTACGCATGCTGACGCAGCTACCCACCTGAACTACTGTACATATATATATTTTATTGTTATTGATATGTACAGTATATCAATAACACAAAGCTTCTTTAAGAACTATCCTTTTCAATGAAAATAATTTTACAAAACAACAACACAGCTATTTTATAGTCCATGAGTGCAACGTCCTCTTGTCTGCAAATTAACAATTTTAAACATCTCATAGGAATGACTGATAAAATTATTCACAGTATCATGTCGAGGGCTCTATTTCATCGATGAACCCAAGAGAGAAACAAAATAACCACACATGGTTCTTACTGTAGAAACATGTAACGCTACATCTTTCCCTGGCCGCAGCAATTAGGCAATGAAATTGGTCACACTTGCTGATTATTAGTCTCCATTTCTTTGTGATATAGTAGCACCAGGCTTGTCTCAGGCAAGAGTCAGCTTGAAAGCAGGAGAATGAGGCAGTATATTAAAGGGCAGGACATAATGAATTGTCCTTGACTGTTCCAGTACGCCTGAAACATTAATACTGACAAATTCCACTTCCTTTTTACGGTGTTAACATCTTGCGTTGTTTTGTTTGCTTTGTTGCATTCTGGAGCTCAGATTTAAATGATCAAGCTACACAGTCAAAAGCCAGGACAGGGTGCATGGAAATGACCCAGGGCAAATGTTTTCTCTCTGGACACCACACACAGCCCTTCCCAGTCCTCGTCTGTATCGCCACTACCAAATACAACCTTCCCTTTGCTACAAGGAATGACCCCATCGACCCAAGTGAAAGAATTATAACAGTAATTATATTCAGCATAACTCATTTTTGAGCTGGGAAATGAATCACACACGTTGTGTGTGGTGGCACGGAAGAGGGTGGTTGGCATTACTGTCTCACAGTGCTGGTGACCTGGGATCAATTCTGGACCTGGGGTGCTGTCTGTGTGGAGTTTACATGTTCTTTTCTTGTTTGCGTGGGTTTCTTCTGGATGCTCCAGTTCCCTCCCACAGTCCAAAGGCATAGTGGTAGGTTATTTGACTTCGGGGAAAACTGGTCCTGGTGTGAGTGTGTGCGTGTCTGTGTTTGTGGCTGTCTGCCCTGTGATGGACTAGAGTCCCATCCAGGGTGAAGCTCTCCTTGTGATCATTGCCTGCTGGGGACAGGATACAGCCCGCCTGCAGCCCTGAGTTGGAAAAAGCAGTTAGAAAATGGATGGATGGATATTATTGAGTATCCTGTAAAATGAGAGAGCAAAAGGGTTTATTCTGATGAGGGGTACAAATGTCATTTACAGATACAAAAGTGACATTGTCCATTCCTCCACTGACATTGTCACTTTAAGATCAGAGAAAGAACTAAAAAAGTTTGAGACCAACTCAGATAAGAACTAACCATAATGGATCCTGGGGCAACTACAGCTTGGGACAACCTTCCAATGGCTAGAGTCTTATTTTTTCAGGACAAAATATTCATTTCCTTTCATGACAGGTTACCACCGTTTTTTCTAATTATAGCTTTCAAAACTGCATCATTTAATTTAATAATTTCATTAGTGTTTACCTGTAGCAAATGTAATGAAACTCTTTGCTTGATACAATGAGTGTGGTTAATTAATGCCATAATGACAACAAACATCCTGTCTACAATATATGATAAATTATATTTAAACTAATGAAAACCTGTTTTATTATGTTATTCAAATTATACAAGGGGACCGTCAACAATCTTTTATTCTTTTCAGCACTGAAAGTTTTGGCTTAGCATATTACAATGCTTTTGTGACTTGTAATCTGTTTAATTCTTGTGATTGATTTACTTATCAAACAGGCATTTCAAACCTTGAGTAACAAGAGCCCTCTGCTGGTGAGATACTGTAGTACTTTTTTACTGAAAGGAATGGAGGGAATAAGCAGTATCAGTTATCCTCAGATAAGGCATAGAAGATATTTAATTTTATTATTCACTGTCACACCATATGACGAGAGGCGGTTAGACCTGTAAGACACTAGGAAGCAATAACTGTATTATATTCATTATGTATTGTCAATACAAATAAATTGAACTTGCAGTTTGCAGAAAACATTTCATTGTGTTCCTAGTATTCTTTGCTGTGGAAATAGGGTCTTTCCACTGTCATCACCCCTCACTGGTAAATGATTACTCCATTAGGTGACTAGAACAGGTACTGCAGGTCTTTTTGTCTACCTTGGAGAGCAGAAAGATGATTTTCAGGTAAATATTTCAATGTACAGTAAATGTCTATCTTCAACAAATGTGTTAGATTAACATAAACACACGTGCACAGAAATCACTAGGTGTACATTCTAGACTTAGCCTTCAGTCTGATAAGAAGTGTTTTCATATCCATCTTTGCCAACAAGAAAGAAAAATGAGGTCTCTGTTTGCAATGTTAATACAATACACTAAATACAGTATCATTGTTATTAGAGACTCGAAACAGAGTTTAAAGAGGAAGACTGTGTGAATCTCCATGATTATAGAATGTTTTCATTTATTAGTGTCCAGGATGACATTCTGAATTTGACCTCGTCAGTCTATGGATAATCTGAGATTTACTGACTCTCATTTTACATGACAAGAGAAGTTCAGGATAACCACTTCTTTCTGAATGAAAAACCAACAACACAGCTCTTTTGAGCCTGCATAACATAAGATATTGTTTCTATATTTGTTTTTAAATAATATATCCTTTTATGAATCACAATGCAAAAAAACACAGATTAATCATTTTTTAATTGCGTACCACATAAAATTCAAATATACTACGTTTTCTGTGGAATGTGATAAACCTGAATTATTGTGTGACTGAATTTTTCGCGAGTTCCTGACAATCTGAAGTGTTTTGAGAGTAATTTAAAAACCATTGTTTTTTTCACTTCACAGACAATAAAAAAATAAGTGAAAGCAGCTGAGAGAAAATCAAAATCATGATGTAAAAACTAGTTTTTGTCACAAAAGTGTGAACAGTCTGTCTGATAATCTTCTAGGTGCTGGTGTGTTCATACTGGTTAAACAGGCAGTGGTTGAAGCAAGTCCTGTTTTCTAGTCTCTGTTTCCTTACTGTTTTCTTGTCTAGGTTTACTTACTCCATGAAGGAACATCGTCACACAAATGTGTTGCTCTCAAATCTATTGCCTTGCCAAGAAAATAATTTATAAGGGGTTTCTATCCTGTCATCATTAAAGTCACCGGGGCTTTTAAATCATCAGCAGTAGACAATATAGCAAATAGTAAAGTAAAAAAAAAACAAGGCAGTTAATTTTCTGCAGTTGTCAGCTTTTAACAGCAACGTCATTACAAACAATTCTGCAGTCTACATCGGTGCCTGACTGCATGGAAAATTGCTGATTAACAGACCATAACTAAATTGTAATGAAATATACGGCTTAATCTTTGTTTTATTTTATATCGTTCATTTTATTCTGTCAGGAAACATGTTTCATTGTTTCTGTTCAAGTAAAGTACCAAGTAGGCACTGTAGGCTATAAGCTAGAAACAACTATTGACATTGACAGCCCATTCATGTGCATTTTAAATGCTCTTTTATGTTTTATTGTTCCATTTATCAGCTATTTTACAAATTACAATTTTGTTGCAAAGGCATCAGCTCCTTCAAAGATTAATGGAAACAACTAGGAAAGCATCTAATTCTATCAATCAGGTTGCAGTTGGAATTAAGATCATGAAGTGCCAATAACAGAAAGGCTGGTTGTGTTAACATATTACATACAATACAGCGATTTGCAAAATAACGTTTTCTGACATTGTTCACTTTAATTTCACAAGCTGTGCATCCTCTTTTTTGCACATAGACATTACCATGTATTGTATGTCTCCCTCAATGTACACTGACTTCCGGTCTACCTTGGAAGAATAGTAATGTACATTTCTACAGTATCTTCAACGAATGTGTTAGATTAAAGTAATCAATCACTAAGTGTAAATTCCAAAGGCAAGTATTTTAATATCCATCTTTGCCAATAAAAAAGAAAACTAAGATCTCTCTTTGCAATGTTAATCCATTACACTAAATGTCATTATTAGAGACTCAAAGACAGAGTTTAAAGAGGGAGACTGTATTGCATGTCTCCTACAATGCACCTTGACATGTTTACCAATGTCTTTGCCAATGACCTAGACATCAGGCACATTACCAGGAACAGTCTTAGATAAGAACATTCTGGAGCTCCTACAGAGTCCTGTACTGCTCTGGATGCTCTTTCAAGCAACTGCATACTGTATGTTACAGCAGAGACTGTATAATAAGAGATTCACACTGCATAGTTAAGAACAGACAGCACAACCACTTCTCTCTTTCAGTACTAGAGGGATGTTAAGTGTGTGTTTAAAGGGACGTGCAAATCTAGGAGCTGGACGCTGCATTAGTGTGAAGTCAGAACAGGAACAAGTAGAGTTTAATTCCTCAGTAAAAAGTAGAAAAAAAATGTTTTGGCTGTTGAGCCTTCTTTACGTGATGAAAGTACAACAGACAAAGTACTGCTTTCATCCCCATTGATGTTAACAACGTAATAAAATGATTTTCTAAAATGATTTTAAAATGATTACAATAATTAGTATGCTTTTGCTGCATCCGTCAATTTTTTTAAAAGAGTATAAATGCTTTCTAGTGGACTGCTGAAATTCATGGGTTTTTTTCTTGTTTTTTTTTTAGAGTGGAAAACACTATGACAAACTGAGGAGTGAAGACTGGTACAGGTATAACAGTCTTTAAGAGGAGAAAAAAAATTTAAATGTAGTAGCTTTTAGGCTATTGAGCAAAATGGTATCAACAGCTAAGGAAAATGGGTCTGTGCTTGTGCTGCAGTCAACAAAAGGCAGTCAAACAATGTTCTACAAATTTCAGTTGCAATGAATCGTGCAACACATTTTGGAGTTACAATTACCAGTTCCAAGGTGAATCTAACTTGAGGTTTTACTGTACTATGCTAATTCATGACTATATCCTAATTCATTGCCCTTAGCAAGCGTCAGATAATTTCAATACCTAAGTAAATGGTGCGGAACTTTTAGATTTTGCAAATGCCATTAGATGCCACAGTCATTCAGAAGGGATGGTCAAGTAATTAGAAATCTTTTTGGCAGAAATGTGGTTATGTGCAAAAATAAAGGATATTGTGCAATTATGGGGGCTTAAGTTAAGAAAACTAAGTTAAGTAAACTTACAGGTAGTTTCTAGCAAAATCTGGATTCCTGTAGGAGTGGTGCCTGTACTGTATGAGCTACTGTCTTTTACAGTATGTACTTTAATTTAATGTTAAATAACCTGTTTGTATGGTTTTTGAAAGTCTGTGTGTGTGCTGTGTGTATAAGGCATAGCAGCCTTTCTGAGAAATCAGATCAAGTATTATCCTTTCTATCATAAATCCCTATTTCCTTTTTAAGTACATGAAAGATTAATGTTTTTCCATTTAATTTTCAAATAAATCCTATCATGTAAGATTTCTTATCAAATGCAAACTCTCCTAGAATCTATTCATCTATTAATACATTAAAATCCTACATACTGTATAAAGCAAATTTTCATCTAAGCTTTCATAATATCAATAAGTCATCAGTGCATCCAGAACTGTTGTTCAGGCTTATTTTTTTATTATTCATTTAGTCATAGATATATGTACCAGATCATCTTTTAAGTCTTACAAGCCTTTTTTTAACCAGAAAGTAAGAAAAAGGGGAGGGAATGAGAATTTCGCAAGCAGTATATACATTTCTCACAAGGTGAACAATAGTAACACTTTCCGTATTAAAAAAGAAACACAGAATATGTACCGTCTGTGTGTATAACAGTGTTTAAGTGATTAGAAAGTATGTATTTATTGTAAAAAATGAATAATTGTCAGAGTTATAGCTATACATCGCACTAAACACCAACATAGGAACATTTCAAAGCCTACAATAACCAGCTACTTCACATTAGAGTCATATTGTACACTCAGACATGACATGTTTCAGCCTATTAAACAGGTGGAACTAAGGATTTGAAGGGGACATAAACTATACAATTTCTCTTTGCCACCATGCTACAAAACACATCACAATAATGTCTATTGTACGTCCTGGACACTGTTTAGTCCAAACTTGTAGCACTCAAGAGTCAAGACACATGCCCAAGAGAAAGGATTAATGTGGGATTAGTGATGTGTGAATTCTCAAACGCTCGCAGCACGTTTCAGCCTCACACAGTGCTGCTGGCACCGGCGCCACAATTTGATGAAGAGACAGGGAAGGGATAAACAAGAGAAGTAAGTGTCATAATGATAAACCGAGCTACAGATGGTCCACAGGTTGTCGCCTTGTGTCATTACCTTTGAAAAGACTTGAAATGTAAAGGGAGCTGGGAAGCTTAATATGCCAGTCTTTTATATGCCTACTGTGAGTCTTGCTCTGAATCAGCCCCAGAGTCACAGCTGAATTATGCCTGCTGACCTTATATCCTGCACATTACCTCGAAAGTGTGGCAGGTTTAACAAGCAAAACTCCCAGGTCCAAATCTAAGGGCAAAAATTAGCTGGAATCAAGTATAAGCCATATAGTACATGTGAAGAAGGCTCCATGGACGAAACGTTGTTTTCTTTCTTCTCTTTTCAGCATGGAATAAACCTATTACTTGTTCCTTTGCAGCCTACGCATGCTGACGCAGCTACCCACCTGAACTAGTACATGTATAGATTCCTACAAAACATACACTTGTAATTTCACTCTGACATATGAACAGTACTGGTATATAGCAGACATAATGCACATTAGACTCCAGTAGACTCCAGTGAGTTGTAGCCAAGGAAAGCACAGTACTGTACATGCGAAAGCTGAAAGTGGGACATAGGCAGCTTAAATCAGGTCCACATACCCGCTCTTCACAAAAATTAAGAAGTTTAAATGAATTGCTATTGCACAGCAGTTGTAACTGCAGCTATGAAGTTGTGACTGCAGTAACAAGAAAGCACTCTAAACATCATCAGTTGACCAGCACCCTACTGCATATTGCAACAAACTGGCCAATGAAAGCTCTTAGACGTATTCTAAGTACTGTTCCTACAGTACCATAGTTTCTTTATTGCATACAGTATAAAGCTTTTCCTTTGCACTAATTTCTTTATTGTTGGTCTTAATAGCCTATATTTGGGTGTACTGTCTTTTTCTGAGTGGGTGTCCTTTTACCTTCACATGTGCATACTGAACTGTAGTCTTTCTTTTACAAGTTCAACTTTACTAACAGTAAAGAAGACAGTATCTGAAACCAGAGGGTCTAACTACAGTATGTTAAATACCTCTTCTTTGTCCAGTAAAAGCAGCTGACAGTCAGTAACAATGCAGAACTTGGGACTCCATACCGTTCGCTCACTGAAAGGATGGCCACAAGATATCCAGTGTGTGGGGGGGCCTTGCATATCTGTTAAACAAACAAAGAAGACAAAGATAAAGGCAACAGCTAATCCGAGATGGGATTTATTAAATAGTGGGAAAATATATATATATCTTTTAACATTTCAGAATTGTTAAATTTCACAGTTGTTTCAGCTAATCAGTGTCTGAAAATGGGTGTAAAACATCCACACAATAAAAAGATGGAAATATCTTCGTCATACCATTTTTAACAGCATTTCACCAAAAGAGGTCACAAGGTTGAACTTAAGCCTATTTGGAAAAAAAGTTTTTTGTCATCTGTATGTTTAAGTAGTTCTTCCATTTCATGAGAGCTGCTGTAGAATACAAAAATATTTTAATTAAAACTCAAGGCTGCTGTACTGTCATTTGAAACTTAAAAACCTAATGGTTTCTAAAGCAGCAAAAAAAAAAAGCTGTTCCTCAACATAATTCTCAATATAATTAGTTAAAGCTAGTTCTAAAATCAGAGCTGCTTTGAATGGGAGCAAAAGGTAACAGAAAACAGGTTATTTAACAGATGAAAAGTAAAAAAGATTGCTAGTACAGTACGTTTTACAATAAATCATTAGAATTTGCATTCTTTATAAAACAAATACTAATTCCCTCCAAAGTAATTCTTTTCATTTGTATTGAAAACAGGTATGCTAGGCAAAATTTTTACAGTTTTTAAAGTCATAATAGCTACGCAAGTAAGGCATATTGCTTCAAGGTTATATTTTCAGTCACTCTGAAAAGCCTTAACTGCATTTTTTTTTAATTTAATGAAATACTCTAAACAGCGGACAGTTTTGGCAACAAAACAAACTACAATCAAATATGATTAAGGTCTGACATTTCTGTGAAACACAAATGCATGTCTATCCCTTTACCCAACAAAATCAATTCACAGTGTTTAATGAAGACTGAATTATATTTATTGTTTCTGCAGGTGTTTAATGAGAATCAATGTTCATTTAACTCACAGCTTGATTTACAGTATAAAGATAACAGGCTTGATTAGACTAAATTCGACAAACATTTCTGCTTGAGGAAGGATATTGTGGGGAAAAAAAAAGCCCAAGGATAATAGCTGCTTACAGTGACATCACTGTAAACAGACATCAAATATTTTATTTGGGAATTTATTTGGCATTCATAGTATAATTACCATTATATAGAAGGCAATACTTAGCAAACAGGCGAAAATCCACAGGCTTATCTAGCCTTTTAATCTGCACACGGCAATAATAATTAATTACAGACTTCACAGTACCATCCCGACAGGTCTTGGCCAAGCAAGTGAATTCACAAATATAAAATGGTTTAAAAAAACAAGAAAAACGAAGACATACATCTTTAAAAGAATTAAACTCCATGTTATTTTTTTTATTTCATGGCCACCCAGTTTGGACCCATGAACTGTTTAGCAGCTAAGCCCACAGGAAGTGAATGTGTGATGTGTACTCTTCTGACAAGCTGTTTTATCACCTGACATACTGTACTAACCCTGCCTTACCTCACAGCAGTGTAAGTAACAATCCAGAGGTGTGCTTCACTACAAGCATCACTGCAAGCTGGCAAACAACTGGTGACATCCGGCAGACTTTCTTGCACAGCAGACCTACAGTAGGACTGACTAAAGCTCTGGAGATGGTGGGACAGAGAGACTATCCTGCGTATGTCTCCAAGTCTAAACCAGGGATGTCTGCACCTCTAGGCTAAAACTGCATTTCATACAAGTGCCCTCATTGGCTGTGCCCCTCAGAGACCTTACTCAGAAGCGCCAGGCACCAATGCTTCAATAACCTGAAAAAAAAAATCATTCTTTTTGCTGCCTCCTTAATGCCATTTAATTCCTCTTTAATGTGCAGAAATGTGTTGTGATGACAGAAGAGACAGATGATTCACGACACTGTGTACTCTCCATAAATAGAAGTGCTGAAAAACGAAGGCCTAAAATTTCAATTTGCGTCTCAAACGCCTCTCTGGGGGGGAAAAAATACCACAGAAAATCAACACAAAAACTCCTTGAGCAGTTTTATTTCTTTGTTGAGTTTATTTGCTGCACTTTACAGTACATTTCCAAACGTGTATCCCACCAGATAAAATCTAAATCTTTACAATTCCATTAGCTAAATAACTTACAATTTCTCCCAAATATACCTTAATTTATTGAGTGTACTAACTAAACAGTAAATGACCATCCATTGAACCTGGAAAATGTTTTGGATTTATATATAAATCAAATATACAAGAATACAAATATATACAAGGAGAAATTTTCCTATGGCAGCTTAAGTTCTACATTCTTATTCATATGTTTGTAGCTATTTTGGGCTACCTTTTTTGAAAAACAAATCCTAGTTTGTGTTATTCTGTACTGTATAAAGAACTATGTATTTCCTAATGTGAGCTAATGCCTTATGGAAGTAAAATTTTAGTCTTTATTTTTCTTATTCAGAAAATAAAAAAATAAAAACTTGTTTAATTTCACACTTCCAAATACTGTGAACTCCACTTAGTCACACACAGGATGCAGTCAAGCTTGTGTTTTGATTTTTGTTAATGTTAAGCTGCAATTTCCTTTACAAAAATCAAGCTGGCATGCTTAGAGAAATTCAGTACAAAAAGTCCACATGCAACAAATAAATTAATCAAAAAACAAGCCTGGCGGGATATCTGGTCACAAAGGCTAAAAACCAAAGACTTGTTTTAAACCTGGACCATAACACACACAACAGAAATGAATTTATACACTGCTTGCATGTTGTGTCATTAAAACTATTGTTACATATTGTCCACTTCTCAAAGTGGCCTCATGGGTTGCACAATAACTCCTACACAGGCCAGAAGCAGTCTTTGGAAAAATTGCTATTGCTCTTCGGAACGCAAAAAAGAACAACCGTCTTTTAAATCACATCACATCAAACAGAGCAGGTGGGCAGGCTTTTCAGAGTTTTAAAGCAGCTAGTTCCAACAGCTCCACTACACAAAGCTTCTGTAAAGTAGATCACAATAAAATGTTCAGTTAAACTTGTCCCAGAGTATCCCCCCACTTTAAACCTAGTCTCCATACGTTTACTCCTGCTCTAGCGCAATATAACACTTCTGCAACACCAATTTTTTGAGCAGATTAAATTTAAATATAAAAATAAGCTCTATATAGCAAAATTATGCTTGAACATGTGTTCAACAAGCCAGACTTGTACTCTGTGATATATGATGTTAGTTTTTCCCCAGCATTCTATTAGTTTTCTCATGTTATTTTTTGAAGAACTAAAAATACACAATTTTAAATACATTTCTTAAGGCTTTGTATTTGCCATCTGTGAGAGACCACTAGAGACTTCCCATGAATTCCTCCCCTAGCTTTTTCTGAATGTCTTCACTCTATGTTAATTAACCCGCTGCCATTTGTATGAGATCTTGCTCCTGTGAAGTGAGGAAACAATCTTTGTAACATCACCCATGACATGACACAAAATGGTGTTCTGGCTTCAGACATCACAACTTCTGCACTATGTTGGGCTTGCAGGTATGACTAATAATTCATTTTACTTCTATTTTCTTCCGAGCTTGAAGTTCAGTTCAAACAGGGTTTTAATTTTCAGCAAAGATAAAGGATGTCTAAGTTGCTTTATGAACTGCTGCAACATAAAGAGATCCCTAAGGCCTAAAAGCAATTTAACAGAAGAGAAAAACAGAGGAGTACAAAGGAAAATACAGCATCCTCGGGTTTGGAATAGCATTTTATAAATAAAAGTTATTATTGTAAAGTAAAAAAAAAATTCACAATTAACCACTTCTGATAAATGATAGATTTACAGGAGGGTGTCAAAACTTGCAAGGGTTCTGTGCAGAGAATGGTCGAGAATAGCCAACGTTTCACCCTATACCTGGTCTCATGAATTATATACTGTAGGATGTATGCTTACATAGACATATAAACCCCCCGTTACATGATAATTAAGGTACTAATGCATTGGCTTTAAGTTAATAAAAAAAATTAATTAACAAGTTTGTTTCTTTTAGTTTCTTTTAAATTAAAAGAAACAACAGTAGTCACAAACTAATAGTAATCAGTTAAAATAAATAACACAAATTCCTCCTTTGCATTCTACATGCTCTATCTTGCTCCATCTCCTTCGTTAGCTCACCCCACTATAATGAAAGGGGTAATACAGCTGTCAGCGAGCCCGTAAAGCCATCTCCAGCCTGTCATTCCCCCAAGCTGCCATCATATACAGTAACTGACAAAACCATGTTGAGATGTGAATCCTGGGTAGTGGGTATTTGGGCTGGGGGCAGGGTGAAACTCACTCACTATGTGGATTCATGTCACTATCCTCATCTGCAGTGCCGCCAGTGTGAAAGTTGCAGTTAACAGCTTTCAGCTTGATAAATCCAAGATTAAAGATAAGCCAACTCAGCGTCCAAACTAAATCAGGACTAAGCAAATCCACAAATGTTAAATTCACAGGTGTTTAAAGATGGACAAGAACACAGGTTCCCAAGTGGCTCAACCAGGAAAGGCTCTTGTACACATGTCTTTATGTATCTCTTATTTGCACCACAAGTTCCAGCCAGGTCACGTCAACAGCCAGTTGTGACACAGGATTGTCACAAAAGTAGTGTATAATGGTAGAGTTCTGTCAGTGACTTGCCAGGCGCCACATGTAGCAGTGACATCATTGTGAAACAAATCTCTCTTCCAGTTCTGTTTACTCACCTGTTGGGCACTATGGAGTTTGAAATGTGTCAAATGATGAATGGCTTAGCAGGTGAGTGTATTGGAGAGGAAAATGCACATCTTCTTTCTTGAGCAGTACAGCAGCCATTGATCAACAGGTACTGAACATCCTAAAACAACCGCCAATTACAAATTGCAAGAATTCATAACCAAAACATAAATGGCCATTTTTTAAAAGAGGATAAGAATAGTTTTCCCCTCATTCCTTGGCATAATTTAAGTGCTTAAGTAGAATGTTTTTTTTAGGAATTAGCCATTGCAAAATTATCTTGCAA